ATGGTAAACTGCATCTTTTTTTTGGCAGATTAAAAGACTTGGCCTGATGCTTTTATTTTGAAGACCCCCGTTTCGTTCCCCACTTCCGTGTCTCTTCGTGTTGCTAACTAGTGCGGTAGTAGTGAGTGGTGGCTAGTTCTTCTTAAAAGAATAAACATGTCTATTGAAGTGGAATCCGCAGAGTAAGTGTCTGATAAATTTCATCACCTCGCATTTTATTTTTGTATTTGCAATGTTATACGTGTGTGTGTTATAAACCAATATTACTCTAGAGGCCTCCCCTCTGTTTAATTGCTAAACGCCGACAGGCGCTAGCAACCATGGCTAGCATACTAACTATCGCAAACACTTATATTCTGCTTGTTAGCTTACCCGAGTAGAAAGCCTTGCTAACCTATGTACAGGTACTGCTCAGTCGTTTAATACATGCATTTATCTGGGGGCATAAACAACATGGGAAAGAGGGTGGAGCAGTTAGCATCAGTTAGCATTAGCTCATACTACCACTTGAACAAGTTTGTCGGTTTCCAAATTAATATAAAGTAACAGTTTTCCCCAAATACAGACAGAAAAATCAATCTGCAATAATGTCTGCTCTATATCTTCTACTTTTATATGTTAAATAGAAATGTATAGTTATCAGAAAAGAAATGCGAAATGCAAAAACAGCAGTTCGTCTCTGGGGCGTTTTTACGAAGTGATGCTCTTTCTATAGGAGTGTAAACTAAATTTACTATGACGATTTTGCTAACTAATTATATATATATATATATATATGGCTTTCAGGGCTAAAACAATCGAATTGATCATAATAAATCGGTTATTGAAATAATCGTCAACTTATTTAGAAATAAATTAATTGTTAACTGGAGTGTACAGACTCTAAAACATGGCTTTAGCTGACAGAGCGACCCACATTGAGCAGAAATTATAACTAAATCGTTAAAGAAATATGGAAACAATCTGCATCTAAGATTAAAAAGAAAAACATTTTCTTTTGTCACTATGACCATCAAGTGGAAAGCTTTAGTTTCACCTGGTTTAATTCTGTAAAAAATCTTCAAGGAATCCTTTGTTCAGAAATCAGAAAAATAATTGGCAGATTAATCGATTTGCAAATGTATCATTAGTTGCAGCCCTAAAATAAAAAAAATGTTTTTGTTTTTTCTATTTAAAATGCAATATCTTTATATACTTTGTTTTACAGTTTTGTGATAGTTACTGCTCTAAGTGGGTTGCTGTCAGCTAATTGTGTAGCATATTGTGTATTAGCTACATTCGTTATATATATCAGATAGTTGTTTATTAAAATAGGCTATTTAATCTCATTTAATAACCATTTTAAAGGCATATGTGATTTATAAAATAGCTGCACCTTTCCAAAATAATCTGTGTCCCCTGATTTACATTTAATCCAAAAGAGTATTTTCTCTACCTTGTTACTGGTTGGAATAAAGTCAGTTAGTTGACCTGTAATAGTACTGTTCCTTTACCAAACATGTGACTGTGGGCTCATGGTTACCAACTGTTTAGAAAGGAAAGTTATTAATGCTTTTATCAAGCCATAGGAGACAGGAATATGGACAATGGCAACACGGAAAGTTTTTAAAACACTCTTAAGTACAACTTAAAATGATCTCTTAAGATGTTTTACCTAAATCACAACCTTCACAACCCATTCTCATATTATCAAATTCAACTTAATTTAAATTGGTATCCTGCTTTAGGGGCAAGACCAGTGTAGCTTTTTGAATGTTTGACAAATTTTTAACGGGGAAATACAAAGAAGACTCTTCTTCCTTTGAATGGAGCCACAGTTATCTGTGGACCGACTGCCTGTCAGTGCTTTGGAGGAGCTTGCAGCAGCATTCGCTGCTCGCTGAAGACACTAAACTCAGTGATTAGGTTGTCACAAAATTTTCCAACAATAAAAAGATTTTGCTGTATTTATTGCTATTTTTATTTTTTAAGTTGCTGGACGGGTTTAAAAAGTCACTAAGTGGGCTCTGCAGCTGTTGCTTTTGTCACAGCTACATGTCCTGCCTTAAACCATAATACTCCGTTATTTTGTCTGATCTGTTTTGGGCTTGTGTTGAATGGCTGAAGCAGAGTGAACAAGATCAATCCAGCCTGTAGGAAAAGTTATAATTCATTTAAGGCCACCTTCCTTTCTCTCATCTGCGTTGTTAGGTGGTCTGCTCATTTCCAGCTGTATCCTCAGTATATTTTTTGTCTTCCCAGCGTGGTCCGTCTGATTATGCAGTATTTGAAGGAAAACAATCTGCACCGGACCCTTGCCACTCTGCAGGAGGAGACAACAGTTTCTCTAAACACCGTGGACAGCATAGAGAGTTTTGTGGCGGACATCAACAGTGGGCACTGGGATACCGTCCTGCAAGCTATCCAGTCCCTCAAGCTACCAGATAAGACCTTGATAGACCTTTATGAACAGGTGACATTTCAATTGATTTTGTTTATTATTTTAACAATATTTCTTCTTACAGATTATTCCGATGTTGTTGGGCTTTTTCCCTCAACTCGAAGTCTTAACTGATTTATTGTGCTCTATCTATTTATAAAAGGAATTTGTTAATAACTGTGGTGTGTGTTTCCTGAGCAGGTTGTTTTGGAGCTCATTGAGCTGAGAGAGCTGGGAGCTGCCCGATCGCTCCTCAGACAGACTGATCCCATGATCATGCTGAAGCAGACACAGCCAGAGAGATACATCCACCTGGAGAACCTGCTGGCTCGCTCCTACTTTGATCCCAGAGAGGTGAGTCCAGAGCACAAATAAAGAAGGATTCACAAGGATTAAAGTATTCTGGCCTGTAGCGATTGCCTGTGGGTAAAAAATAAAAATAAATAAATAAATTGATGGTAAATAAATTAAAAAAAACCATGAAATCCCCCTTGCGTTTGTCAGCCAATGGTAGCAAAGGAGTAGCCTGACGTAGTCCTACTCAATTCTAGTCAGAATATGAGTCTGATACTGCTCCATAGAGCTGTGATTATGGGGCGTGTTTCGAACGAACCAGGAAAAAAAATGCCTCTGCACTCAATTGGATAGACCTACAACCAATAAGAGCAACGGAGTGCGTGACGTATGTTAAGCCACGCATAGTTGTTGTCCACAAAAATCAAAGCGTGCAGTTGCACGCCTAGAATAAGAAGATGAGACTTGATCGCGTTTCTCTGTTCCTCTTTTAAAATTAATTTGCTGTCGATATCTTCTAGAACAGACCTAATAGCAGAATCTACTCACCTCAACTCTCCAGCGGCAGCCATTGTTGTTGTCACCCAAGCGCGCTTTGGTGACGTGGTTGATTACGTTACTGTTGGTCATCTGTCCATCATCGTATAAAGCCCGCCCTGACAATTTGATTGGCCCGCCAGATATTGTGCGAGCATACCCGCGCTACTATTATGCAATGCCAGACCGAACTCAAACGTTGTGGGCGGGACTAAGTTCGGAATGGCACCCAGGCTAGCAAAGGAGCGCTCTGAAACTAACAGTATTAGCCAAACAGAAGAAGGGGGCGCGTCTTAGGAAAGCGTGTACCTTCTCCTCTCGTTTCTTGCTCCAGTCACAAGATAGATTGTGGTGCAGTGCTGAAGGGAAAATCACCTTTTGCCGTTTACGGCTCCATTCAACAGGGATACGTGTTCAAAAGTAAAAAAATAAATAGATAAATCAAAGTTTGTGTTTGAAGAGAAGGATAATGGAGAGAACGGAATTGCATGGAGTAGGAACAATGCAGTTTATGAACTCTGGCCCGCTGTGGCTCAGGAAGCTTATTTACGCATCCAGCAGCAAAAAGGTGCTACGCAAACATGAGTTAGACCCAGGTCATCTGCTGTTCGTGCGGCCACGCACAATACACGTTTGCCAATAAATGGGTAGGACAGATTACAGTTTTGGAAACTGGAAGATCCTTTATCAATTAAAGTCCAAAGGAAGTCCAGCAGAGATTTGCTGTATGTTCTTCTCATATTTTTTTTTCTCCATCTGTCCAGTACTGCATCCAGCAGTTTGTTTTTATGTCTGTCAAGACATGTATTTGTCCACCCACCTTTGCCCCTGTCAATCTAACCGTCATAAGCATATCCACCACATCCTTCTGTTCATTAATCTGTCAATTCTTATGTCCCTTCATCACTATATCTCTCCATCCATCTACCCATTCAGGTCATAGACTGCTACATAGAACTGTCCATCTGTGTACTTTGAACTCTCACCCATTCTTCCTCTTAGTTTGTTTTTTGTTTTTTTGCATGTTACTTTAGGATTTTCTTATGTATACTTGAGAATTCAGAAAAGTGTGGACTTGGAATCATTTTCCTGTTTAACTTATGTGGATGTTTCTGTCCAGGCTTACCCAGATGGCAGCAGTAAAGAGAAGCGGCGCGCAGCCATCGCTCAGGCCCTAGCCGGAGAAGTCAGCGTCGTGCCACCCTCCCGTCTAATGGCTCTGCTGGGACAAGTCAGTAACCTTTAATCCTTGCAGGAACCTTGGAAAGCCTGATACAGGAGAGGCTAATATACACAAATGATATTTTTCTTAATTTTCCTTTTGCAGTCTCTAAAGTGGCAGCAGCATCAAGGTCTTCTGCCGCCTGGTATGACCATCGACTTGTTCAGGGGTAAAGCTGCTGTGAAAGACGTAGAGGAGGAGCGCTTCCCTACTCAGTTGAGCAGGCACATTAAGGTGGATCACCATTTATCCCTAGAAGAATTTCAAACAGTCAAAGTAGATAAAAAGTGAACATTCACATTAATGGCTCCTCATTAATCCTTGTAAGTTTGCTTTTTTTTTCTTTTTCTACAGTTTGGACAGAAATCTCACGTGGAGTGTTCTAGATTCTCCCCTGATGGTCAGTATCTCGTCACCGGCTCTGTGGACGGATTCATTGAAGTCTGGAACTTCACCACTGGAAAAATCAGGAAGGTACAAATGTTCTCTAGGACTGTGATTTGCATAAAAACTTTTTTTGTGTGTTTACCATATTTTCATGGCTTTAAGCCGCTACTTTTTTCACGCTTTTAATCATGTGGCTTATACAAAGGTGCAGCTTTTCTTTGGCTTTTTCTTCAACTGCCACGTGGCAGAAGTTAAAGTTAGAAATTAAAGAAGAAAGTGCATTTATTTAGCACAAATCCAAACATTTTGATATTTATTTGCTGCATTAAAGCTGTCGGGCCAAAGAAGGGACTGGACTCAACTCCTGCATAGCTGAAATAAAGAGCCCCATCTTTCAGTAGACACTTTTACTGCTGCGAGTCTGCAAGCTAACTGGAGCTAGCATTCTTCTTTGTCCCTCCCTACTCAGTGGGCTAAATGTAGAGCTCCCCCTACAGGTTTGGTGGGGGGGAATTCAGTCAATATCAGCGGTTTTTAGCTCAATGCAGCTTATTTATAGGGAAGCTGTTGCAGAACCTGCTGATCCTGCATCAAATGCTGCGAAGCCTCTTCCCAGAGGGCAGCAGGGAGAACAGTCCATAGTGGGGGTGTGAGGGGTCATTGATGATGACCTTTTCACCTAAATTCATTTTTGTTGACATGATTCAATTTGTCTGTCTTCCAGGATCTGAAATATCAGGCTCAAGATAACTTCATGATGATGGATGATGCTGTGTTGTGTATGTGCTTCAGTCGTGATACAGAGATGTTGGCAACTGGAGCCCAGGATGGAAAGATTAAGGTCAGACATCATTCCTATGTTTTATTTTGGGTTCACTGCAAGAATCCTGCTTTGTCTACACGTGTATACATATTTTAAGTCGAGCATATATTGGAGCAGTCCTACGGTATCTATCTGTTCAATAAGACCTGAATTATCATTGAATATTTTCCATATTGTATGAAGGTGTGGAAGATCCAGAGCGGTCAGTGTCTGAGGCGATTCGAGCGTGCCCACAGCAAAGGAGTAACGTGTGTGAGTTTCTGTAAAGACACCAGCCAGCTGCTCAGCGCCTCCTTCGATCAGACCATCAGGTAAACTCCTATCCAAGCTAACCTTTTCACTATAGACTCCCAAATGTTATTATTTTTTTTTTTTATTCAGCCTTTAATGATTTTAATGTTGTATTTTCTAAGCATTTATGCTTTTTTTCCTCTCGTTTTTACTTTGGACAAGAATCCATGGACTGAAATCTGGTAAATCGCTAAAGGAGTTCCGCGGCCACGCCTCATTCGTCAACGAAGCCACTTTTACCCCTGACGGCCATCACATCATCAGCGCATCCTCAGATGGAACAGTCAAGGTCAGAGAACAGATGTCTTATTCAAGATTCCTGCAAACTTTGGTACTTTAAAAGATTTAAGTTTCTCTCCAGGCGTTAATATTTATGGAGAAATAACATTAAAATATTTTGGATATTTTTGTATCCCAATTTTTCCCATAAAGTTTCTTCCATCCCCATGGGAGGTGGGGAATAAATGACAGAAGCTCTGTGCGAATCAGTTACAGGGTGGAATCTATTGAAGTGCATCCGTTTAGAGGGAGAAAAAAAAGCTGCAATATGCGAAATGTTACGTTTAAATTATCCTTTCATCCAGCTTTGTAATCTGGGGCGAAATCAGTGGAAGCCGTTTTCAAAGGAGACTGAAAACAGCGCTTTCAGAAGACCTTAAACTCAAAGCGATCTGTACTTTTACTTGTCAGAAAAGCCTAAAACAACAAAAGTTGCTAGGTTTAAACGCAAGTCACTTTTGTGGATAGTTGAGAGTGTTGGATGAGAGAAATGAGGCGAACATGAAAGCCGATCGTCAGGCCAATATAGGGGATCCTTCCTGCCTCTATCTATTAACATTTACCACAACAGTGATAGCAAAAATCATGACTGTTTATTTCCCATCAGGTCTATGAAGTATTGATGAATGAATTTGAAATTGTTAATATTTTTTATTTTGGTGTTTTTTGTTTTGTTTTTTTTTACCCTCTATCCAGGTTTTTATCCTCTACTGGGGTCACAAAAGGCATCACAGAGACACACAGCCACACCAGTCTAGAAACACCAGATAACCTAATAGTCACTTTTTAGGGTTTTTCTTTTAGAGGACACCAGAGTACCTGAAGAGATCCCACATATGCAAAGGGAGAACATGCAGAACGATCCTAGGCTGGAATCGAACCCAGGACCTTGTTGTTGCAAGGCAGCAGTGCTAGAAAACGGTTTCTGGCTTATTTTGTTCTTCCTTCACCTGACATTCTTCTGTTTGTTTCTCCATGGTTTTTAAGGTGTGGAACGTGAAGACCACAGAGTGCACCAGCACTTTTAAGCCTCTTGGTACATCAGCTGGAACAGACATCACAGTGAACAACGTCCTCCTGCTGCCCAAGAACCCCGAGCATTTTGTTGTGTGTAACCGCTCCAATACAGTGGTCATCATGAACATGCAGGGACAGGTCAGTTTCACTTTGAAATATATATATATATATATATATATATACATACATATGGTAAAATTTTAAAATATTTGTGTTTTTACATGTGAGAATCCTTTGCTGTTTTGGTTGAGTGCAGATTGTGAGGAGTTTCAGCTCCGGTAAGAGGGAAGGCGGTGACTTTGTGTGCTGCACTCTGTCGCCCCGCGGCGAGTGGATCTACTGCGTAGGCGAAGACTTTGTGCTCTACTGCTTCAGCACCGTCACGGGCAAACTGGAGAGAACGCTGACGGTACGACGCTGCTCGCTGACACAGATCAAAGAGTCCAAAAATATCACAACACAGTTTATGGTGCAGCATCTGTCAGGGAGATATTCACACAGGTACTGATGGTGAGAGGATATCCTGCAGGATGCAAACAGACTGAATAAGATCCAGGGCTGCATCTTCATTAGTAATTGTAACTAAAAGTTTTAACAAACTAATTTTGTAAGTAAATATTTTAGATTTTAGCAGAACAGTCCGTCGTGCAAAGGAACCCTCACATTATTCTGTTTTTAAAATCTGTTAAAATGAGATTATTCTGATCAGAAAGGTGCATGTTGCTGCTTTAGTGTCGGCTTTTGTCATCCATCACATCAGTTCTTGATTTTAGCTTAAACATTTTTTTTATTTGGTTTTTAAATGATTGTCCTGGAGATAAATTCTCTTGTGTAGTTGATTCTCTTTTCACTGGACATGGAAGGACTGCTGCTCAGACAACAGAGCTCATAATAATTACTAAATAGGCAGAGATTCATGATTTAAGCTAACTGTTACAGGGACTCTGAAACACCTCAAAATGTTTTTTTGCTCTCTATTACTTTTCATAAAAGTGTGAGAAAGGGGTAATAGGACCAGCGTTTACTACTTTGCTCCCCAAAGCCTTCAGTTAGTCCTGTCCTCAGCCACTGGTTGTTTTGTCCTTGTTCCGCTGATGGAACCAGTCCAAACCATGAAACTCTCCTTATCTCTGCAGTTTAGGATGATCTGAACTAGTTATTTAGCAATTTAGGGCTTTTATAACCTGGTTTAAATCTTTTCACTTCTTTTTGTTCTGAAGAAGAAAATCAGTTACTGTTAACTGTTGATCATCAGCTTCTAGGTGCCACAGGGAAGAGATAATTGGGTTTTCTCTCTTAACCAGTTTATCCCTAATGTACCTGATCAGTATTTATATATATTTTTTTAAAATGTCCTGTGTCCATGCTTTTGATGGACCATCAGGTTGTCTTTCCATCTGTGCTAAGGCCAGGCTAGCTAAAGCTAACTGTGTTTAAAGCAGATAGTGCCGACTGGTCCCCAAAATCACTGCCCTGAATTTTTTAAGCCGATCTTGACTTTCTTTTTTCATTTAAATAATAGAAATGAACACAAATGTTACACAATTTTCAACTTAAACAAAATAGAAACATTTATTATAAAATCAAACAAAATATTAACAATGGATAGCAAATAGAAGAGGCAGCAATGCATGGATTTAAAATGTTATACAGGCATGGCTGCTGGATGCACTAGTGAATCAGTGAAAGAAAATTTCACTGACACAAGAAGAAAAAACACGCTAATATTTGCCGAAAATATTGGTCTGTTTCTAAGCTGCAGTGTGGCTGACTGCTTACCTTATCCTAGCACATTTGCTTCTTCCAGTATTCAGAAACGGGAGAATGAGCTGCCACTAAAGGACATGCAAGTCAGATGGATCCACCATGGACTCAGAAGTCCTTAAAAGTGAACATTCAGACCTGAAAACACAAAAACCAACAAAGAAGCAACCTGTATTTTTCTGCTATCCATCCATCAGTTTTCCCTTCTCTCCTTGTCTTTGGTTATTTTCAGGTTCCAGTTAATCCTAACCCCTGCTAGATTGAAATGGAGCCCATTTCTGCCTTTTTGTCATAAAGTTCTGCTCTAATAGAAAAGGCTCAGAATGTCGTTTCTCTCCTCCTCAGGTCCATGAGAAGGATGTGATCGGCATCGCTCACCACCCTCACCAGAACCTGATCGCCACTTACAGCGAGGATGGCCTGCTGAAACTCTGGAGACCTTGAAGAATATTCAAGAAACACCTGGACTTTATCTTCCCATGTTTTTTTTTTTTTTCTTGGTCAGTTTGCTATGGTGAATCATTCCCATCTTCAAATGGACTTTAAATGCTTAGATGTGTAAGAGAGCCATCGGTTAAAAGAAAAGTGTACAGTTTTTTTAAGTTGTTTTGTATCATTAAAGCATGGCATCTTAATGTCGTCTGTGGGATTTGTGTCTCGGTGCACCATGTAAACATCCGCCAATATGTAGCTCAGTCATGCTGTTTTCTTCAGTCAAGTGTGGTTTGTGAATTAGCCAGTAAAAGTAACAAGATGTTTCATAAACTAGAAATTACGTCCTCAGTTGTAGGGAAAGTTTGCATGGAAAAAACTATTTTGAGACAAAATTTTTTCCCAGTTTTAAAATAAAGTCCTATTGGTCTGTGCCTGAGCTTTAAAGATCTTTAATTACTTTTCTGGGTTAACTGACAAGTTGACTGGTTAGAGAAATATACCTAAATCTAAAAAAACAAATAAATGTTTGTAAATATTTTTCAGTAAAACTGTTAAGTCCAGGGGTCTGCAACCTTTAAAATCCAAAGAGCCATTTTTTTTTCCTGAATTAAAGTCATTTAGAGCCGCAAATATTTTATAACCTTTTAATAAAGGTTTTTAGGGTTGTTTTTTAATCATCTTTGCAATCTGTTTCAATTTCGAATATGCTACAGTTTGTATTTTTAGCTTTTAAAATATGGAAAACATGAAGTCATTTCATAAAGATGAAGCAGAGATTTTATTGCATCCGATATTTGGTGTAAAAAGGACAAAAGCATAGTTTCCAAGCTAATGACTAGAAAAGTAAAACATATTTTGTCGCTAAAATTGAATATTCTCAAAAAAAAAAAAAAAAAAAAAAAGCAGAAACTTACATTTGATACTAAAATTAGGCCACTAAGAGTCATTGCAGAGGTAACAACGCCACTTCTGGCTCTGATGTTGCCGGTTGCAGAACCCTGGTTCAGCCAATTTCTTTGTCTCAGATGTTTTGCAGCAGCTGGACAGAAACTCATCACATTAAAATAAGGTTTGGATCCCAAAAGGTTTTGTTTAAAACTGAACTCCAAAGACGACCATAAAAAGTGACTCATTGCAGAGAAATGTGACGGTTTTCTTTTGAACTCAGGACATTTCTAACAAAAGATGATCTACTGGAAGCCAAACTGTAACTCGTTTCTGTTTGTGCCATGAAGCTGAACTGTAAAATCGGATATTCATTGTATTTTCAAATATGGCAGCAAAGTGGAGTGTTAAAGCATTTCTTTTGTTCAATATTAAAATCAATCTGGTTAGCCAGCCTTGAATAAGCCTGTAAAACACGTCTAAAGTTTCTGAGCCAGGCTTTACTTCCAATTAGATGGAAATAATTGCTCACATTCAGAAGGCCTGCTGGAATTTAACCCCAAAACAAACCGGTCCACTGATAACTAACACAGCTGCTCTGCTGAGAGGAGCATCCAGTTTGCTGGAAAAGTTTCAAAATAAAAGCCTCCTGAGTTCCATAAGCAGCTATGTTGTTCTTAAAGGTTTTAAATGCAGCTTGCTCTTCATTAGAACCCAAAACTAAACATCTAAAATCAATTAAATGTGTATTTAAGTATTTGTTTTTTTCCAGAGATCTCACCTCTTCAGGTCGGCCGCTGAGTGGAACCTTCTTGCTGGATCAGCCAGCAAGAAGGTTCCGGGTTTGATTCCCAGCCTGGGGTCTTTCTGCATGGAGTTTGCATGTTCTCCCTGAGCATGCGTGGGTTCTCTCCGGGTACTCCGGCTTCCTCCCATAGTCCAAAAACACGACTTGATTTCTGTAAATTCTCCTTAAGTGTAAATGTGTGCGTAAATGATTGTCCTGTTTGTCTCTGTGTTGCCCTGTGATGGACTGGCGACCTGTCCAGGGTGGACCCCGCCTCTCACTCGCAGACAGCTGGAGATAGGCACCAGCGCCCCTCGTGACCCCGCTTGGGATAAGCGTGACAGAAAATCCTTTGGATGGATGGATATTACCTCTTTAGTCCAAATAATTGCTGGGCTTTACTTATGAAACAATGAAAATAGTGTTTTGCTATATAGAATTTTATTTAATTATATTTCTTCTTATCAAACAAAATTCCTTTATTTTTAATTTGCTTAAAAGTGATTAACTGTAACTACTGTACCTCTCATGGTGGTTGCTTTGCCTTGGATGTTAAAGGAAACTGTTTCCACTGATGGCAGCTTGACAGATCCAGACAGCTCCAGGTCAGGAAGGTTGAATGAGTGTTCAGTGAGCGAAGGGTTTCCACTGGAGAGGCTCACTATGGCAGGACTTCTCCCATTCCCTCTGCTGTTATTTTCACTTTTTGGCTTCTTTGTCCTCGTTTGTGGCCACCTGGCTGATTTCACATCAACAGTCAAACCCACTGTGGTTTCAGGTGTAGATCCTGCAACAAAGAGGCTTTCTTCTGCATGGACATCCAATGCCACAGAGGTTCCCACCACAGATTTCACAACCAGTTACAGAAAGTCAACAGCTGAAACCACTACAGAGAGCGTGAATGGGAAAGAAGGTCGGAAAGATGTGAGAAAAGAGCCCACGACAAAAGAAGATGAAGGTCCTCTGGAATTGGGTAAAATCTAATCAGTTTTGTATTTTTAAACCCTTTTTATGCATTTCATTTGTAAATTACAAAGTATGGCTGCAAATTACAAAGTTTGTATTGTAATTAGTTTGCAATATAACTGTAAGATGCACCTCAAGAAACAACATTATTTACTGCTGTTGTAATGTGACTGCTCTGGTTGTGTATTTCTGCCTAAATGCTCCAGCTAAATATGATTTTCATCTAAAAATGGGGAAAAAATCAGAAGCACTAAATAGGTTAAGGAAAAAGATGAGTTATAAACACTTGATTGGACTCAGAAAAGGGTTTAAAAAGCATTTCTGTAGTCGTTTTTGGGGTCTCCTCTGTGTGAGCATGGAGACTCTGCAGCTACGGGTTTCATGCAAATGAAACCCAGATGGTCTTTGTAATGACTGAGGTTAAGGAAACAGTGAAAATCCCACTTTTTGTACCAGTTATTTAAGGTCATGAAAGAGCCCAGTTTTGGTGTCTAGTGAGCAGTATCTTAATGAACCAAAGGTTTTGGATCATCTGGTTAAAATACTAAATAAATAAATCACCCTCTCTTAGTCTTCCAAATGAGGGCACCTCTTCTTAATCCTAAATATTTAAAAATGTTAAATAGTGTATGATACTTTGCAGTCTAACAAACAGAAAATGGACCCACTCATAACCAGTGGGCAGCTCCTTCTCTGTTTATTTATTTATTTTTATTTTTCAAATGTTTTTTTTTATGCAAATCTCCATTTGTTTTCAGAAATCTTTATTTTATTCTCTTTTGACCAAACCTCATGATACCTGGTAAATTTCAAAACAAAAGCACAAGTTGA